CTACATTATCTGAAATAATTACTTCATATCAATTATTTCCTAGAAAATGATCAAAATAGATTTCAGCTTTCACTAATGTTATTATTGTTTTATTATCGCAGACATCTAATATTTTTTACTCAAAAAATAATTAGTCGATAAAAAGATTATACGTTATTAATCTTTTAATGATTATTGCATTAATCGACTTTAAAATAATATTGCACGTAGTTTTCAATTTACGTGTTAATTTAATACTAAAGATACCAATTGTACGATTTTATTAAGGAAATTTTATTTTTATATTTATAATTGCACGCAGTTTTTTATTTATGTATTAACTTAATTCTTAATATACAAATTGAACAATTTTTTTATGGAAATTATATTTCTATATTTATAATTGCATGTGCAAAATAATGGTTTCAACTCCTTAAGTAAACATCACCGAGATATATCTTTCAAAATAGATTTATCTATATAGGTAATACAGACACTTTAAATTAATTGATACTCAAAGTTTTTAAAAGAATCAGTCTGTAAAAATAGCATATCTACTGCAATATGTGTTTAACCTAACATGATAAATAAAAAATTATATAACAAAATAAATTAATATATTTGTTTGTATATACTAGAAACATGGAAGCAGATGTTCTGAAAGTAAAATATATATATATTTTTTTTTTTTTTTTTTGAACTCAGTTTTATTTAGCAATCAGAAATACATAAAGATTCCTATGAGCTAAAATGACAAAATTTATGAGTGATGGCTAATAAGAACTGCAATGAGAACTTCTCAGTTTTACAATTAGTATGATATATTAGACCTAATCTAAGACTAAGTCTAGGGGCCATTGTCGTTTCAACCTCCTAATGCCAAAAAGTTGAGTAACGTCAACTATAGAAGGATTCAAATGTGAGTCCAGTTTGCGCTTATATTTTTCTTTAACTTCTTTAAACGTTAATTGCACCGTTTTCATATTCAAAAATTTTACGTTCAATTCTTAATTCTCCGTGGTACGTGACAAGTAAAATATATGAAATAAAAAAGAGGAGGGGAATAGTAGTAATGAGATGAAGGGTAAGGGAATCTTTTATTTGTGGTGGCTCTCACACCATGAACCTGCCTTCGGGCAGACTATCACTTATTATTATTATTATACTAGAAACTAGGCCAATACTAGCTGCAACCAAAATTATGTATATTGACATAAAATGCCTCTTGACTAGTCTCTATACAGCTTTAGCAGCAGACGATTTTTTCTTCTATTACAACCTAAATAATTAAGAAATTATAGTTTACTTGTAGTTTTTAGCCCTTTTCAACGATATTATTATGAAAAAAAATTTGAAGTCAATGTTCTGAAATTTGAACTTTCATGGTTATTGAGTATTTTATTCATCATTTGGTCAAGTTTCTGGTAAGTCATCGTCTCCCGTCGATTTTATATTCTCGTCTTTACTGGTTTTCTCGACTTTAATTCTTGGAATGCACATTCATTTGCTTATCTTTTCTTCTCTTTCAATGGCAATGTTGTTAAAACAATATTCTATATTGTTCAATTTCTCAATGAATGTGTGTACAAATTTGTTTCCGTCTGCGTACATCTTTGTTTCTACTGTTTGAACAATATGAATTCTTCGCAAGAAATCATCAAATTTTGAAGGAAACAAAAAAACAATGTTGTACATCTAATATTTTTCTCACGAGCTGATAACTTTTTGGTGATCAATGACTTTTCTCCTATTATGGTTTACCAGTTCTTAGGTTTTTCCGTCTTTCTTTTCTATCCAATCAATTTATTTAGTTATGGTTTTTACCTGATGTATATATGGTATCATCTCGTTGCACATAGGTTGGTCCAGTAGTTTTTCCTTTGCCTTTTCCATTTCTTATGTGGATTTGTAGTTTTATTGCCATATACGTTGGAATTTCTGAGATCAGTATTTTCAATCTTCATACGGTCATCAAATTTATTAATTTATTTTCTATGTTTCTATGACGATATCATCCACGTTTCGAAAATAGATTAGATAGATAAAAATAGAATTAACTACTTGCAAATATTTTCTATGAGATGATCTTTATAATTCATTTTGCAAGATTTTGTCTCCATTCTCCAGAAAAACTTGTTATGTATATAATCTATGTTTATTTACTTTATCAGATATATAAAATATAAATTAAATTGTTCACAATATACAAAAAGAACTAAAAATTACATCCAATAAATCTTTACTGACAATGGATTGACCTGGACTTTTTTTAAATATTATATTATTAATTTCATCTAATAAATTTCTTGCTACCTCGTCTGAAACCTAATATTCAAAATTAAAAACTTTGGACATAACTCATTCCAATTAATTAACTATTATAGCAAAACCGTATTATTGAATCATACGACTATATTATGATTAAGTTAAAGATGATAATGATTGAAGTATGCATTTGATAACCTTTTTATCAATTCTCATTATTCACTTACAATTATAGATTTCATAATTATCAGTTAATTACCAGATTATAGATTCAAAATAGATATACGTTAAAACAACAAATATCTGTGATATCTTTAAACACCGCAAGATTTAGATTTAAATCAAAGCGAAGTGAATTCTGTTTTATATTTAAATTTATTTCATGAAATTATTCGAATGGTTTTTGAATCTTTGAAACGGTGTAGATGTTCTTAAGAAAACGTCGACGAAAGGTCAAAATGTGGCCCACATACACACACACATTTTTTTCAATTTTGGTCCAAAACGATTCAGAAAAAAAAAAAAATAAAATTATTAAGTCGGATTTTTGGCGTAATCTTCAATCGTCTAACTTCATCTTTTTCGCAATCCTGAACCTATATTTAAATTCGAAAACCAAACGAATCAAATGTGAATTGCGTTTTTGATAACATTAGGTCAGGTCTTTAGTAAATAATTTCATAATTTCTATTCATTTCAGATGATAATAGTTCCACTAATCCGTGGATTTACGTTGATTTACAAAGACACATTTGCTGCCATTGGAATGTCAACAACAAACGTATCTGTGATTTTAAATACAAACACGTCCTTTGGACTTTTATTAGGATTGATAAATGGGCCGCTTTTGAGGAAGTATGGTTTTAGAAAAATGGCCCTAATTGGTGGCGCTCTGTCTACAATTGGCATCATTTCAACAGCGCCAGCGAGAACCTTTGGCCATTTTTTTACTACATACAGTATTATAGCATGTGAGTATACTAATTAAATTTATACATACATAGATGTAAATTCTTGAATTCGATGTTGTTATAATATATGTATAAGTTGAGCTTAAAAAAATAATTTATTTCAGCAATTGGGTTCAGCCTTGCACTTGCATCATATTCTTTGGCGTTAAATACATATTTCAAGAAGAGGCGACATAGAGCTGCCGGAATTGCAATGACCATAACGGGTAAATTCTTAAAATCAGTATGATATTTATTTTTCCTTCCATATATAAGTGTTTTTTTGGATAGCAAATATTATTAACTTTCCGTAGGCTAAGTTATAGTAATCGCAAAAAAAAACGAAAATTATTATATATCTTTAAGTTTCAAAGATTTCTGAATATTTTCGCATACCTTAGAAAAATGGATGTATGTGTGTGTGTGCGGATACAAATTTTCGTCGACGATTTCGGGAATATCTATCAACCGATTTGAATAATTCAAAAACATTCGATTCGTATTGATGGGGAGACGTGCTGATTAGTTTTTGGCAAAGGCAGGTCTAGCCGTTCTGAAGCTACGAAGCAAAAAGTGCCAAAAACTCAGTTTTTAAGAGAACGGAGCGTCCGATTTTAATAATTCAAAAAACATTTTACTTGTATTGAAAAGGTGAAAAACTGATTAAATTTTTGGGAAAGCATGTCCAGTGGTTATGGACTCTCAGTATAAAATAAGTTAAAAAAATGACATTTGGCGGTCAAAAATGTTTATTGGTCATATGTACATCAAATTATCAGATATTTTACAGAGATTTTAATAATGTGTACACATTTTGTGTAATTTTTTTTGGGTTCCGCACCAAGATTTTTAATTACGGTACAGAAAGGTTTTGATTTTATTTTACTGCACTTGAAGTCATCGTTTCTTCAAAAAATAAAAATAATTTGTGCGATGTAATTTTAAAACTTAATCTAATCTTCATAAAAAATAATCATATAAACTTTTTATCGATTATTTATTTCTATAAATAATTCTTTTGAACAGATAATAACACTAATGAACGGTGAAATCTATTTTTAACATTTTCTAAGAAATTATTTATTATTATGAGATAATCAATTCAGATAATAAAAATAGCAGAAAAATTTAGCCAGTTAGATTTTCTCATTACCTCAATTGTCCGCTCAAATATTTACATTAGTATGGTAATATTGCAGAGAAATGTGATATATACAATTAAGCCTGATGATATTGAATATAAATTTCCACCCATGTATAATATTTCCTCCCTCAACAATGCACCATTGTTTACTCAATCTTTCTACTCAAAAAGCTCAGTGGAAAAATTATGAATTGGCTGTGATACTGTTATTGTGCATTTTTAAAATATAAATTTAATTTTTTTTTTTTCAGGTATTGGGCCGATTTTTGTTCCACATATGATAACATATTTCGTCCAAAATTATGGTGCTTTAGGTTGCATGTTGATATTCGGAGCGATCGCGACTCACCAATTTGCAACCGCTTTACTTTTGCAACCAGTTAAATGGCATATGAAGAAAGATGATTCTTCTCAAAAAATTAAAGACTTCCAAAAGATATTAAGCAGGATACTTTAAAAAATTGCGAGGAGAAACAGAAATTGTGTTCTGTTGTTATTACAAAGGAGATAATTCTAAAGAAGTTAACTGTGAGTTATTTCTAACTTATGATTATATAAACTAATTTTTGGAGATTATAAATAAAAAAATTACTAAACATTTGATATTTATATAAACAATCTTATAAAAAAGAAAGTTATTTTGTAATCATTTATAGCAGAACCGAAAATGGTGGACAGTATTTGGGATGTATTTTTATCTGAAGAAGAACATGAGTATTTGGAGAAGAAAAAAAATAAAGCTCCAATAACGAGGGCAACGATGGATGGAGAGTTACAAATTGGAGATCAAAGTCTACACCCATCCCTAAGTGCAATTTCTAAAGAAAAAAGTCATTCTGTCACATTGACAAAACTTACAAGTCGTAAGATATTAATTTTTTATATTTTAATTATGCAATTCAAAAATATACAACAAATTTTACCAAATTTGCCAATAATTGTGGTAAAATATTTTGATTAGTAAGATTAAGTTTCTAGGTTTGAAAAAATTATAATGTTCTTCCTCAATCCTGTCTGCATCAAATTTAATCTAAAATATTTCATAATTTTTTTTTTCAGTATTGGAGTGTCAACCAGATATGGTACAAAGAAAGTATGCTAGCCAACCAATTATTTATAATGAAGATATGAAAAATTATGACGAACGAGAAAAATCGCATAGAATATCAGTCGTTATGGATTATTTAGGAAATGATAAACTTAAAACATTTAATGAATATGATGATAGAAATGAAACTGAAACAAGTAAATAAACGGAGAAAATAAAATGTAAAGGTTTATTATTGAATCACATCAGAAGAACGTCACAAAAAAAGTTTACTTTAGTACTAGATAGTTTATTGTTTATTGAAAAAATGCTTTCGTTTTTAAGGCAATGGTAAATAACGATAAAAAGCCCAAATGGCTATTCATTATTAGATCTGATA